TTTTTTTTTTTCATATGTAGGCTACAATTGGCATAGACTTTCTTTCCAAGACAATGTACCTCGAGGATTGAACGGTTCGCTTGCAGCTTTGGTAACACGTTTATTATTATTATTATTATTATTATTATTATTATTTTTTTCTAGATTCTGAGATAATAAGTCATATGTTGAATTAATGTTCGATTTATGTGTGCTTTTTTAATTTAATTTCTAGTTTTTTAACTCTACAGGGATACTGCTGGACAAGAAAGATTTAGGAGTCTTATTCCAAGCTACATCAGAGATTCTTCTGTAGCAGTGATTGTCTATGATGTTGCTAGTAAGTAGCTGTATATATAGCACTTTTAATTTGTGCATTTATTTAGTTAGACTTAAATTTAGCCCATAACTCTTGTGTGTTAGGCGACATAGCCATTATTAGACGGGTCGATGTAATAATAATACCTTTTTACAGACCGGAACTCATTTTTGAACACTTCGAAATGGATTCAGGAAGTACGCACAGAACGTGGCAGTGATGTCATTATCGTTCTTGTGGGAAACAAAACCGATCTTGTCGATAAAAGGTCATGTGTGAACTACCTATTCATCATGTATAGATAATTTTATGAATACAAAAGTCAGTTAAAGAGAATATTAAACTGTCGTTAGCATATTGTTTTTTTTTGTGTGTGTGTGTGTGTGCAGGCAAGTTTCCGTTGATGAAGGAGATACAAAAGCCCGTGAATCGGGACTCATATTCATAGAAACTAGTGCTAGAGTTGGTTTCAATATAAAGGTAAAAATGATCGAATTAAAACATCTATCCCAATAATCAGAACATTAGCTCATTCCAATTTAAATTAATTGTTGATCAATAAGTTAATTATAATTAATGCAGCCATTGTTTCGAAAAATAGCAGCTGCATTGCCGGGAATGGAAAGGTTTACGTCAGCAAAGCAGGAAGATATGGTCGAGGTGAACTTGAACACAACTTCAGCCACAAACTCGAACGAGCAGCAAGGAGAAGGTTGTGCCTGCTAGAAAACAGAAAACTACATTCACACATACTCACTCAAAGAGTTCATAGTTAGCTACTTATAAGTATCGTCGTGTTTGTATGAGCAAATCTGCTTGGTTAAGATTCTGAGTGAAATTATGTTAAATACAGAGTGATAGACTTATATATCTTAAAGATGCATGCATACCCTTCACCCATTTGAGGTGCATGAGAAAAAGAAATTCTTTGCTAGTCTTTATTAATTGAAAGTAAAGTGCATTTTAGCCTAGAACAAGGTGAATGTATAACTACAAACGCCCCTCGATGCTTTGTGGCATTACATCAAACGTTGAAAATAAGGGGAACACAAAATGTCACACAACGTCGAACTAGGATCAATAGTACACTACATCAAACGTTGAAAATAA